AAGGGAAAGGTAAGTAAGTAAGTAAGTAAAGTAACGTAACGTTACGTTACGTTACGTTCGGTTACGTTAATTATTAATACTACTACTACTACTACTACTACTCTACTCTACTCTCTCTCTCTCTCTCTCTCTCTCTCTCTCTCTCTCTCTCTCTCTCACATATCATTTAGGTTAGAAAAGGCATTATTCGTCATGTTCTTTAAGTGTTCCCTTGAAATGTTCTGGTGCTCCTTGAGAGTTCCATAAAGTGTGGTTTTTTGTCAGCTGTGTGTGTCCAGTATCTCATGTCCGACTTCTCCTTTTGGGCCAACTAAGATGCACATGAATCTCAGCCCCCTTTTCTTAGGTTGGAACAAGAATAGGCTGTGCTTGGAACTCATTAGGATGTAGTTTCCTTACTATATATGCTGCAATCTATGTCATCAAAGACTCTAGGCTGGGATGGTGAAGAATGTGTGGAGAGACGGGTGATCAGCAGATCAGTGGCAAAGGGGAGACTCCGCTCCCAAGGAGAAATTGCAGCATTAGTGATGGTGATGGATTCTTATAAATTCCACAAACAACAGCCACCCACACACACACACACACACAGATAGAGATAGAGATAGAGACAGAGATTAGAACAAATGATCTTGACATTTGAGATATCTTCTCTTAAAAGGGATGACTAGGAGATAGGGTTGCATCTTAAATGGATCATTCTTCTTCAATTTTTGGGAGCTGCAAGTTAGTTCAAGTGGAAGGACTTAAAAGGGCAAGGGGTACGCCAAAAGGACGTCATTGGAAGTAGTTCGGAAAGATATGGGGACTTATGGCCTCACTAAGGGTATTGCTTTTAATAGAGCAGAATGGCAGATCAATATTGGTGTAGCCGCTAATTAATTGGGAAAAAGCTAGGATGACGATGATGATGATACAAACAGTAGATGGTTTTTCTAGAGATTGAGATTGGTTGAGCAAAACATGGATCCAAATCGAGAGCTTTGACTTTCTACGATTCACAACAAATAAGTAGATCACAGCAAAGGCTAACAATATGAAACAGAACAACCAATTCAATGTGAAATGAAGATTGTATTAGAACAATAAGAAGAACAATATCATACTATAACAAAATGAATTATGGAAAAACCTTACTCACTGGGGCCATCACCATCCATTGAAGTGACAAACAATGATGCAAAGAAGATGCGAACCACCACAACAGGATACGATCCTGGAACAGGACCCACTCCCTTCATCACCATTCCTTTCGACGGATGGTGGTGAGCCATTGCAGGTCCATTGAATTAACTACGTACATAGAAATAAATTATGAGTACTCACTCCTGATTTAAGACAAATCTAACCGCATTTCCAAGGGCGTGATCCTCATCCGTCAGAGAATGTAGAAGAGTTCGGGCTTTCAAGGGACCCTGATTCCATTTTGACAATTGTTCCGGCTTGCAAAGACATAGAAGTGGGAATAGTATCAGGCTAATTGCCAATAATGGTAAACCAACAGAGCCCAAATGAAGATCATGGCTTAACCCATCTGAATACCAATGGCAGAAATGTTGTTTCAAGAGAAAGATTCTACTACATAAGACTAGAATTCAGTGTTCTACTTGTGGGAAACTATACTACAATCTAATGGACCATGTAAAAACCAGAGTTCACTATGCGATTGTTGTCCATTGAAATAACACACACACACACAGCGTATTGCACCACCACTGTCCCTTGAAATAACACAGAGGGAGAGAGTGTTTATTGCACCATCTCTGTTCCTTGAAGAAAGACACACACGAACGCATGTGCGAGCACACACACACAAAGAGAGAGAGAGAACACCACAGACGAAGAGAGCGTTTATTGTGCCATCACGTTCCTTGCAATAACACGCACGCACACACACAGAATATTGTGCGATCACTGTCCCTTGAAATGAGAGAGAGAGAGAGAGACAAGACAAGACCCCCACTCTCTCCATTGCCACTCATCATTCTAATGATAGTTATGGCCCTATTGATAAAGGTGTGATTTCATAGTCCATTGGTTCAGTTTCGCTTCTATTTTTGTCATAACAGTAGTAAGGTAAGAATGGCCCTGATGCAACCCATGCCAAATCTTTTTTCACTCAGTCGCTAAAAAGAGTTGTTACAATACTCATAATTTTTAAAACAGTAACATGCAAGGAAGCAAGTTCACAAACTAAAATCTATAGTGTGGATGGACAAAAAACACAAATTTATACAAAACACACTCATTGTTTAACTAGTTAACACAAACTGTTATGATTTTGAAAATTGCAATATGCAAGAGATGTTCAGATTTAAACTTGTAGCGTGACAAAATAGAGGAAAATGCAAAAGAAAATTATAAAGATCTATTTTGCATGTTTTTAACAAGAGTTGGTGTGATTTGCAAAATAATTGTGGAGAAAAAATATTCACAAATTAAAAATGTAGTACAAATTACAAATTGTTGCATACAAATTTCACATCCATAGATGATTATAGCACAACCAACTCATAGGATGGCGCACACTTCTAATTCCTTAAATTTAAGTTATGCATGATGCACTCGAAATAAGAAACAAATGATAATTTCAAAAAGAAACTGAAATTATTGAGTTGAGGAAAATGTATATACATACAATACGGATCCAAAGACTAGGAAATTACTATACATTGCATATATAGTACATCGAAGATGCAGTAGGTGTCATGGTTACTACAGAATAAAGCAACAATAATTGAACATCAGGCCCTCATATATTAAATCTAACAATAATCCAAAGCTTCATCATCATCACTGTCATTGTCAATGCCCTTTCCCAACTAATTAGGATCCCTACACGAATCATGCTCCACCATTCTACTCTGTTAAGGGCCATACCCTCAGTGAGGCCATAAACCCCTATACATTTTCTCACTACTTCCAACCATGTCCTTTTGGGCCTATTCCTTGCCTTTTTTTAACCTTCCACTACCTCCTAACAAGTGTTGTATTGGGTTTGTGCCACACATGGCCATCCCACCTAAGTCTACTCTCTTTTATCTTATCGCCTATTGGTACCACACCTAAATTTTCCCAAATGTATTCATTTTGGATTCAATCCCTTGTTGTCTTGCTATTCATCCATCTCAACATCCTCATCTCCACTACACTCATTCTATAGGTCTATTGTTTTTTGACTGCCCAACATTCTGCCCCATAGAGTAAAGTTGGTCTCACAGTTGCCCTATAGAACTGGCCATTTAGCTTCATTGGTATGTGGCGATCACATAAAATTCCAATAGCACATCTCCACTTCGCCCACCCAGCTCTAATTTTATGTGCGACATCTTCCACAATCTCTCCAAGATAATCCAAAGCTTACAACACAAATAGTCAGGGAAATACTCTAGAAAGTGAAATATTAGAAGAGAAAAAAATATTAGAGAAAGATCAACAACAGTTAAAAGAGAGCAAATCACTAGAAGTTGAAACAAAATCTATAAGAGGTTAGGATTTTGAGTTTTTGACCTATAACCTTGTCCCCCAGCTCCACTAAAGAGAGAAACATAGAGAGAGAGCAAAGCGGAAGGAAAACTTTGGAGAAAGTTAAAAAAAGGCTAACCTGCTGTCAAATGAACCGTTTAGCTCGATGGGAAGCTTCAATGGAGTCTCTGAACAGGAATCAAAGGGCTTCTTTTTTTTAACCAATGACCTCTGATTTACAGCCCAATTTTGACACAGCAATAGGGTCGTGCTTGGATTTTATACAGGTCTTCTTTAATAAATCAAGGTTTGACGAACTAGTCTTGCAGACAAGCTTGGATTAGATTAGGGTTACTCTGAGAAATTGAGATTTGAGCGCGCTCATGGAACTAGTTTTGGAAAACTGGTCCGAAATAAGGGTTTAACAATCGGAGTTTAGGGGACCCTTTAAAACCACGAACCGAGTCAGAATCGTCCTACAGTGAACTAATTCGGATGGATTAAATCAGTGGGAGATAAAAAAGGAAAACTGAAAATCTACAAAGAAAAAAAAGAAGAATATCTTTTAATGGAATAAGTTTATAATAGCCTGTTTGATAACTGGAAGCAAGTTCATGAACTGTAAATTGGAAGTTCCTCATGAACTGTAAATTGGAAGTTCCTCATGAACTGTAAATTAGAAGTTCATTTAGAAGTTCCTAGTTTCTGTGTTTGATAACCTACCTGGGAAGTTAAGAAGTTACTAGTTTCTATGTTTGATAGCCTCCTGAGAAGTCAAACTTGCCATCATAATGGGTAAACAACTACACCCACAAAATCTGCCAACCTCAAAGCAAGAACTATCTCTTACAAGAACTAGTGATATTGGCAGGAGAGCCCTCAATGAATAGCTGACCCAATTAAAAATCTTGCACTCATCAGTAGGCCAAGCATTTTTGCACAGGCTTTGAGTTGCCTATCAAATTGGATCAAAGATAACTTTAAGAATACTTACCAAAATTATTGCCTATCCCTAGGGTCTGATAACCAATTGGGTGATCAAAGCATGACAATAAAGCCGTTCCATAGGCCCACACAATGCATCTTTCTGTTCACCCTACATTTTCAGATGCAATTGCATCTTGAAGGGCACATGGGTCCCATAGTTACAACTGGGGACAACATTGGAACCACCACTTCATTATACATGCATCATATTTCCAGATGCAGTCAACCATTGTTCACTGATAATGATGGTACTAAGTATCCCATACATGAAAATAAACAAGACACAAGATCCATCACAATCATATATACAAGCACAAAGTACAAGCCAAAACCAATCTAAAGGGTATGCACCACGCCAATAGGAGCAGCACCAACAAAAATAACGGATAGGCATCCAAAGTCCTGCCAAAAAGATAGAAAAGCACAAAACTGTATAAAGAGTTTCTCACACTTAAACAACATGAGGATCAAGCTTACAACAACCACATATCCATGAAATTCTCCATCAAGACAGAAAGAATGGGGAAAATTTTAAATAGAGAACAGACTAACAGAGTCATCGCAACCCAAAAGTCTTTGGCTAAGACTGCCATTATCAACCACCATCCAAGCAATAAACTCAAATAAAGCATAGAAATACTGCGCACGAACATATTGAACATTAATCCAAGAAATAGAATCAATAATATTAATTGGCAACAATATATGATGATCCATAATTTTCAACAACAGAATACTAGGAACTAATCAACAAATGGGGCTAAGAAAAACACGAGATAGAACTAAATGAATTCCAGACCAACATCAACCTAAATGAAAATGATCCTTTTACATATCACCAGATTTACATTCTGAGAAGGAAACTAACTAACGCCAAAATAAAGACTGAAACTTTACCACAACCACACAATGACATTGAATCCCCTTATCCTCTAGAAGAAAATACATACAAATACAACGAACCAAATACTTAGTTCATGGCCTAAAAACTTATTTTGGACAAAGATTTCTTATTCTAAAAGAAAGTTTTTAGGCCCCTGGTTTTCCCTCTTTACTATTCCATTGGCCGGTTTCAAAATTTGCCTTACGAAATATACAATTATACACGTTTGAAAAGAAGTCCCTACCCCAGGATTAAGTTCCCGGGGATTGATTACTTGCGCGGAATGGAAATAATATTTCTAATTTCACCTCAAGGGCTGAAACCAAAAAACGAAAAACGAAAAAGCGAAACCTTGGTCCCTCTCACAAAACTGGCAAAACCTTGCATTTCACAAACCCGTCGCTTCTCACAAAGCCCTGCCTTCTCTCACAAAGCCTCCCTCGCCACTCTCTCTCAACCCTCTGCGTCCTCTCACACAGACCCACAAGCTTTCATCTTCTTCAAGCGAGGATCTATTTGCAAGCTTTCATCTTCTTCACCCATGCAACTTTCGGAGAAAGCTTGGTAACGCTCTCCTGGAGCCCATCTTCACTGCAAACTAAGGTAAGCTCTAACCCTTCGAACCGAGGTTATAGGTTTGCTAACTGCACTAGAGCAAGTTATAGAGAGATGCCATTAATGCTGTGAGTTGTTGAATGGTTTCAACGACCAGGAAAATGACTCCCATTTTAATCCCCACAACGCATTTGCAATGCCCCTTAAGTTCCCCATCCAACCATCTCTCTCTCTAAAAACAAGCAAACTCTCTCTGATTGTTATTCACCTGCAAATTCCTTGCCTCTCAGCTAATATCTCCCTTCTTTGTATACATAATTTTCAGAGCTTGTATACTTTGTTATATGGAAAGTGCTCTACTGGTTTTGGATGAATTAGGGATTGGGATCTGGGAAATAGGGCCCGGTGGTCCGGGTCCTTAACTTTAAGGGGATTAGGGTTTAAGGTTTTAGAGGTTTATCTTTTTAGCGATTTCATTGTGGTGTTTTAGCATAAACTTCTCGGTGATTTCAGAGCTGATTTTAGGGATTGCATACTGATTTTTTAGATAAATCTATTTGAAATTTATTGGATTTCTTGATGAATTAGGATTAAGTGGTTGTAAAGATTTTGTTTTTTTTCTTTTTTCCCCTTGAATTTTCAAGAAATAAGTTGACATTGCTCGAAAAAAAATGTAAGAAAATCATAAAGTTTAAATTCATTGCTGAAATTTATATTTTTGGACATTATGATGGTGTGATTTTTCCATTTTTATTGCTCTATTTTGGATGTAAATTTTGCCACCCATGCTTTCATTTATGCCACTCAATATATGGACAGATAAATTGATAGATTGAGATACCTGGCAATTTGATTTTTCCCACAGTTTTGGGTAGTTGATTAGGATCAAAATAATGGTTATCGTTCTTTTCCTTCAATTTTTTTTGTTTACGAGATGTTTTATGTATATTTTTCTCTATTGCGCCCAATAAAGAATCTTCATGACATGCTTCAATTGGATGAATGGAGTTCCTTTATCTAGTGTGATTTACTAGTCTGTAATCAATGTTTTATATGCTTTTCTGCACGAAAAGAATTTGGGCCACAATTGCATTCGGCTGATTGGGAATGTTGTATTTAGGTTTTGATGTTCAATTTCCTACCTTACTGCAATTAGTTTGTAGAATACTGCTGTCATGTATATACAATTTAGATCCCCTCTTTTTTGCCATATGGCACTTCTCTCTCATTATTCTGCATTTCATAAGACGTTGTTCGTGGTAACCTTTTGACATGGATATATACTTAAATCTTTTCTGGTGTACTGTTGTGGTTGCAATTTCAATTATTGGTTACATGGTTATATGAACAAATTTAAATCTTGACTGTGCATTATGTAAAAAATGCATTAGATGGGGTTGTAGCAAGAAAATCTTATTCATTCAAAATATGCATTTTGCATATCAAATCAATGAAATACATAATGAATGGTTAAGACAGATAGTTTCCAACTTTCCCAATACTAAACGGGTGAAAATACTAATACCACAACTTATCAAAGGTTCCCAGCTTTTAGGCTACTGATTTTGACTTTCCCTCCTAGATTTCAAGAAAGTTAGCAGCTGGGATTTTCCCAAGGAATCTGCAAAGAAAGTTATCAAAATGCAACCTTTGTGATTTTTGAAGTTGATCATCATGGACCTATTAGGTATATATGCCTCATTATGGACTTCATAGGCAATGTTCAAAAAGACGGATTCGGGTCGGGTGGGCGCCCAGAGGCAGGGTGCCCTCATGAAAATCAACCCCCCCACCCCCCAAACATCGTCCAAATAAGAAAAAAATTCAAATTGATCACAAAAAAACAAAAATCAATCTTTTAACAACAAACATATAAATATATCATAAAAGAAAAAAAAAAAAAAAAGGAAGTAAAAGAAAAAACACGTTATTCATAACATAATATGTTGTAGCAAAATAAAATCAAAACTCTCTTTCAAATATGATAATATCAAAATCAAATCGATGTTGGTGCAAACCTCGTCTATTGCGTTGCCAAAAGTTCTCAAAATCAACTACTAGAAGCGCTCCAAATCTACCCACGAACTATTGCCTTTGTTTTGGGAAGAAATCGGAAAAATAAAAAATTTATCGATCTTTCGATAAATCACAGAAGATTGGTTTTTGAGGGGTTTTTCTCACCCTAAAGACCACGGATTTTCTATTGGGGGTTTGGAATACCCCCTAAAATAGTTTTCCCCTCCTTTTTAGGGGAAAAAAGTATATTTTTTACCCTCACCAAGGGTTGTTTTTCCACCCGGCCGCAAGTTGTCACTGGGCGGCACCTAAGCGGGCGCCCAAAAAATAGAGCCTAGGTGGGTGCCCAGAAACAGGGTGCATAATGACCCCACCTAGACTGCATGTAGGTGTTTTTAAATTTTTTTCGCCTAGGCGGTTTGGCGGCCGAATTTTCGAACATTGTTTATAGGCATGTGATGGACTTTCATGGACGTAATAGGTCTGTGAGGCCTTAGGCACCCATCTGGGTGCCTTGTGGAGCACCCAACTGAGTGTTTGGGGCCGTCATGTGCCTAATAGGTCTACGGAGGTTATTTTGGATATTAAAAATAAAATTGTGAAAAAATAGGTGTGGCAGTAAATTCCAAAAAATATTGTTAATTGTTAAGAAACAGGGGGATATTTTTTATAACAAAAAGTAGTCTATAAGCCGAGGGCCGCATTTCTACATTTGCGTCCCCAAGGTATCAAACATCTATGTTTAATATGGATATAAAGTTGTGGTCCCTCCTAAAAGAATAAACAGGGGAATATTTTTATAACAAAAAGTAGTCTACGAGCCCGGGGACGCATTTCTACATTTGCGCCCCCAAGGTATCAAACATCTATGTTTAATATGGATATAAAGTTGTAGTCCCTCCTAAAAAGAATAAAATCTAACGGTTCAAAATTTTTGTCCCCAAAGTTATCTTTTCAGCTTTTAATTTTTTTTACCTATTAATGATCTCTCCATGTTAGAGACTATGCATATCCAAAAAATTAGGTTTAAATTCTATCCAAAAAATATATCAAAAAAAGGGGCCGCACATATGAGTCATAGGACTCATAGAAACGTTGTCCTTTTGATAATGTCCTTTCTAAATATAAAAAAGGGTGTGGTTTGCAATTTTGCATAGGGTTGCAACTTTAACCAATCAAAAAATAAGGCGTGCCTACAAATTTTATGTAATATTTAGTATCAAAACTTCTTAGAATGCTAACAATGGTTTAAAAATCTATTTCATCTTTAATTATAAATTTTTAAACTCCAAAAATGTTTCAAATCAAATAGATCTATAAACACATGAAAATCTTGAAAATAGACAGACTAAATAATGTGTTGCCAGATGTACTATTGTTGGGAGTAAAAATCTTCTTTTTTATTTTATTTCCATGCAGCTCGATGTCGAAATGATCAATTAAAGGGTTTCCCAACATCAAAACGGTATTTTTTGATGATTTTTTAAGGTTGCACTTGATTCTACCGTTTGAGGTTGCAACCTTATGGGTGTGTTTAATAACAAGAAGTTGCTCAAGTGAGAAGTTACCTATTAAAATTATTGTTCTTCCTATGCGTTTGATAAAAAAGGGACGGCAACGAGAGAAGTTCTACTTTACTGTTCATGTTTTATTTTTTATACGTAAAAAAAAGTTCCGACAAAAAGGTCGGAACTTGAAAATGGAAGTTTATAAAAACTTTTTTTTTTGAGAAGGAAGTTTATAAAAACTTTTGTCCCCGATAAAAAATGCCTCCTCCACCATTGAGAAGCAGTACGCACAGAGCCCCCCTCTCCACCATCTCTCACACCGATTTTTATCAAGAGCCCTCCTAGCCATTGAGAAGCGGTGGACAGAGATTTTCATCAATAGGTCGAGCTCCATTGTTCCTGGGTTTTTTCGGTTCACCAACCTCCCATCTGCCATTAACATCAGAGCCCCAGGTATGCTTCTCCTTTTTTGCTGTAAACCTATTTCTCTTGCTAGGGTTTTGTTGGCTCTTCAATCTTTGAATTTTTTCCCTTGACTTTCGAGATATGTTTATTAATGGATATGTTTTTGCCAATTTATGTGATTTTGGGCTGGTTTTGGAGAAGTCATGAGATTTGTGGCATTTTAGTTAAGATTTTTTTGGGGATTTTCTGTTATTATAACTTTATAAGTATATTTATGACATTCTTCTTGGAGATATCTTGTCTGATGCTTTGTGATATCTGTGATGTCTTCCTCATCGAAGAACACAGTGTTGTGCTGGATTATCTGTGTGCTCAATAATTTGTCGCTCTATTCTCGTGGAGTGAAGAGTGAGGTTGCATGATTTCAATATAGTTATTGAGAGAGAGGGGTTTGACTGAACCAAGTTTTCTATGAATAACAGTTCCAGAGATGGGGTGACATGATCTCAATAAGTTTTCAATGAATAACAGTTCCAGAGATGAATAGACTGCATCATTTTAGTATGGCTTGATTCCTTGTTTCCTTTGTGAATAGACTGAACCAAGTATTTGGTTCGTTGTATTTGTATGTATTTTCTTCTAGAGGATAAGGGGATTCAATGTCATTGTGTGGTTGTGGTAAAGTTTCACTCTTTTATTTTGGCGTTAGTTATTTTCTTTCTCAGAATGTAAATATGGTGATATGTAAATGGTTTCATCTTCATTTAGGTTGACGTTGGTTTGGACTTCATTTAGTTCTATCGCGTGTTTTTCTAAGCCCCATTTGTTGATTGGTTCCTAGTGTTCTGTTGTTGATATTTATAGATCATCATATATTGTTGTCGATCAATATTATTGATTCTATTTCTTGGATTAATGTTCAATATGTTGGTGTGAAGTATTTCTATGCTTTACTTGAGTTTATTGCTTGGATGATGGTTGATAATGCAGTCTTAGTTGATAATGCAGTCTTAGCCAAAGACTTTTGGGTTGCGATGGCTCTGTTAGTCTGTTCTCTATTTAAAATTTTCCCCATTCTTTCTGTCCTGATGGATAATTTCATGGATATGTGGTTGTTGTAAACTTGATCCTCAGGTTGTTTGAGTGTGAGAATTTCTAGAAACTCTTTATACAGTTTTGTGCTTTTTCTTTCTTTTTGGCAAGACTTTGGATGGCTATCCATTATTTTTGTTGGTGCTGCTCCTATTGGCGTGGTGCATACCCTTTAGATTGGTTTTCGCATGTACTTTGTGCTTGTATATATGATTGTGATGGATCTTGTGTCTTGTTTATTTTCATGTATGGGATACTTAGTACCATCATTATCAGTGAACAATGGTTGACTGCATCTAAAAATATGATGCATGAATAATGAAGTGGTGGTTCCAATGTTGTCCTTGCTTTGAGCTTGGCAGAATTTGTGGGTGAAGTTGTTTACCCATTATGATGGCAAGTTTAACTAAACATAGAAACCAAGAACTTGAGGTTATCAAACACAGAAACCAGGAACTTCTTAGGATCTGTTTGACAACTGGAAGCAAGCTCATGAACTGTAAATTGGAAGTTCATGGAGAACTGTAAATTGGAAGTTCATGAAGAACTGTAAATTAGAAGTTACTTAAGAAGTTCCTGGTTTCTGTGTTTGATAACCTCCCTGGGAAGTTAAGAAGTTTCTGGTTTCTGTGTTTGATAACCTCCTGGGAAGTTAAGAAGTTCCTAGTTTGGTCCCAACCAATTATATTCATGAACCCATAAGCATTATTCATTAAAAATAGAAAGGTAACAAAAGGAGCATGGTAACTACAACATTCATTATTGGAGCTAAGTAACACTGAACAAACCCAAAAATAAAAAATAACAAAAAGGTAAGTAAGATTATTCTTAATTCCAGTAAGGTTCAGCATTTTATTTACAAACCCACGTCATAGTTGTGTATCATAGAAAAAATATATTAGATTTCATGAGCCCACATCATAGTTATATATCAAAGCAATTTCAAAAAAAAAAATAGCAAAGCAATTTCAATAAATACTTGGAACACATGAAACCATTGAGTGAAGAACAAATTCAGGAATGAAAACAAGCAAGCTAGTAAGCAATAGCAACTAAACTTCACAGGTTTTCAGAAAATCATGAATTCTGACTAATTAGAATCATGAATCGTGACTAATGAGAATCAAAAGAGAACTATGGAAGAGAATCAATAATCGTGAACAAAGTACCACAATGAATTTTAGTAATCATTGGAAGCTCAAAGTACAATCCAGTAACCAAGTTCTACAACAGCGAGAATGCATAATTGTTTAGCATTTGACCACAATTCAAAGATCAGAATAAGAATGCATTGATCACAATTCAACATGTTGAACTTTTTAGCATTTAGCACACAAAAGTTCCCCAAGGATGCATAAAAGACAATATTGGAAATGCACATGCTCAACCAGAAATATAACCACCCTGTACTATTGAACCATAAATAAAGCATAACAAAAGAGAGCATAATATTCTCAATAACTCATCAATAATTTTCTAAAGGGCATTGAAAAGGTTAATGAATGAATTGAATTGCCATCCAAACAAAATCCGAGCAATTTCTCAAAAAAGGATGTGACATGGATTAGTTAAACAGAAATACAGAAAAAACGACAAACATTTTAATTAGCCATGAAAGTAAAGTTGATCACTTCGGAAATTAGTGTTCAATAAGAGCACTGAAACAAAATCTTCATTTATTATGAACCCGAAACCACCTTCCAATTTCCAAATTTGACTATGACCATTGCCAGAAACTAAAGTTTCTTGACAGAAGTCCTACAAAACTAAAACCAATAACACTCATTTGATGTGAATAGTCTTTGAAAAATAACATATGGGTGTCAAATTTCTTTTCTCTCTTGGTGTCATGGCATGGACAATAGTCCCTGTGCTTGGTATCACAGAACTCGAAGAAGTTGGGGATGGTGGTCTCATAGTCTGATAGGTTTGGGATCAGAGTGGTGGTGTTCAAAGCCCATAAAGGGTCCAGATTGGTGAAGACTAAGGAGATCCAGCCTTACACCATTACCAAAACAATCTGCAGTTGAATTGGAGAATGAGTTTAAGAGAAGAGAATATGGTTTTTTGTGGAGATTTGAACCAAGCAAGTAGGAGAAGAGGTAGAGGAGAGAGATACAGGAAAATATCAACTACCCAAGCTAATCAAAACTACTTTTTTGACGGATTACCCAAGCTAATCTGAAAATCTGAACCAAGTCTTTTTTTTTTCTAATCCTCTTTTTCAAATAAACTATTTTTGGACTGGCTTCTCAATATTCAATTTGGAGCTCCAAAAGATTTAAATCTTTTGCATTTGTCCAAAATTGAGTTTGATTCAATTTTTTCAATTTTTTATGAGATTGTTTCCATAATAAAAACAATATAACAAATTTTAAGGTTTGCATGAACTAGGGTGAGGCTAATGTAGCAATCTCACAGTGAATCAAGCTAATCAAAATTACAGCAGTCTGGAATGAAGTATACTGATCCCAACAAGAACCCAAACTATCAAATGATCGTGCATCCATAATCTTATCATGCAGACAACCAACAAGCTCTCTAATATCTTATCATGCAGACAACCAACAAGCTCTCTAATATCATATCATGCAGACAACCAACAAGCACCCTAATACGGATAGATTGTCAGGGAACTTGATGTCAAGCACTCAAAACAATCAGTTAACCCTGAATCTAGATTTACAACATAGAAAAATCACGAAATAAAGCTTTTGCATTGCCTTAGAACTCGATTTACAAATTAGAAAGCTATTAAACCAATTTAATACTACATTCAACATAGGAAATTATACAAAAATAACTTGATTTAACCCTAGAAATGTTTTTATAGGGTTTCCTCCAAAAAAACCCTGAGAACAATGTTTTTAACAGAGAAATTCGAAATTAGCAAGAAAAAAAGAAGAAAGAATTGCAAAATCAACAGAGAACTCACTGATTGGAAGTATTTGTTGAGGTTGCAAGGCCACGAATAGTACTGGACGAGAGGCTGCTTTTACTGGAGAAGAGAGAGAGAGAGAGAGAAAGAGAACTTTTGCAGTGGATTGCAAAGACAGGGGTGGGTGAGCGGCTGAGTAAACCCTAGGGCACAATTTTATCGGGGGCAGTTTTGATATGAACTTACTTTTTCAATTCTAGAAAGCAATTTTCTGTTATCAAACACTAAACAACATGTGGATCAAAGTATATTACTTTGATAGTACTAAGGAACATATTAAAATATAGCATGCCACAACCCCTACTTCATGTGGCACGTTTTGTTCGCATGAAAATATGTTGGTGCACGTGGCATACCGATGCATTCGTATGTATAATGGTAAGGTTGCACCTTCAAATTTTATGATGGTATATAATTTTAATGGAAAATATTTTTAGAATTATCTTAAAATTTATTTTTCTATCTAACTATAAAATTTTAAATTTTAAAAATAGTTAAAATCAAATAAATCTATAAACATATGAAAGTCTTGAAAATAGACGGTGTAGATAATATATTGTAAAATGTACTATTTTTAAGACTTAAAATCTTTTTATTTTTCATGGTCCTATATTTTAATGTCGAGATGATCAATCAAAGGGTTTTTTAATATTAAAACTANATTTTCCAATGGATTTTTGAAGTGCATCCATAGTTATACATCATAAGGTTTCATCCTTATATAAACTTTTTCCATACATTTTTTCATATAAAAAATTCACCCATGTGATCAAATGTAGCAAACCCAAGTTTTGAATCGAAACCTAGTTATGTCAAACCTTGGTTATTTTAAAATATGATTACAAACTTGTATGGATGGCGGTACCCACATTATACAAATCTCATGTTTTGATATTTTTTGTATAACTTGGTTTGCTATTGTACAGAGAGAATGTATCAAACCTGAAATTTAAGATTGTTTCTCTTTGGAAAAAAGATTTAAATGATTTATTTTTTAAAAAATAAAAATATGATAAAGTTTCTCTCTCCAAAAAATTTCTAGATAATTTCTCCCTCTAAAAAACTGAAATTTCATATAGTTGACAATTTCTCTCGCCAAAACTTTTGTGATACTTTCTATCTCTAAAAATTTTCAGGTAGTTTCTGTTTGTAATATTTACATAATTTCTCTATCTAAAATTTTAAGATACTTTCCCTCTTTAAAACTTAAAATTTTATATAGTTTCTCTATAAATTTTGAGATAGTTTCACTCTTTAAAAAAATATTGGTAATTTCCTTCTCTAAAATGTTCAAATACTCTCTTCTAAAATTTGTTAGATAGTTCTCTCTCTAAAAAGTTTCAGGTTGTTTCTCTCTCTAAATTTTGATATAGTTTCCCACTCTAAAATTGAAAATAGTTTCTCTCTCTTAAAAAGTGAAGTTAGCTTCTCTCTAAAAATCTTAAGTAATTATCTCTCTAAAATTTGGGATAATTTCTCTCTCTACAAATCTTGAGATAGTTTCTCTCTCTAAAATTCAGGTATTTTCTCTCTCTAAAATTTTAAGATATTTTCTCTCTTAAACTTAAAATTGAGATAGTTTCTCTTTTTAAAAATTTTGCGATAGTTTCTCTCACTAAAAAAAGTTAGATAGTCTCTCTTTCTAAAATTTTAAGATTCTTTCTCTCTCTAAAATTTAAAATTTAGAGATAGTTTCTCTATAGAAAAATTTTGAGAATATTTTCTCTCTCTACAAAAATTTAGGTAGTTTCTCTCTCTAAAATTTGATATAGTTTCACTCTCAAAAATTTTGCGATACTTTCTCTCTAAAACTTGAAATTTGATATAGTTTCTCTTTCTAATAATTTTCAGGCAATTTCTCTCCCTGAATTTGATATAGTTTCTCTCTCTCAAAATTTAATATACATTTTCCCTAAAAATTTGAAATTTGAGATAGTTTCTCTATCTAAAACTTTGAGGTAGCTTCTCTTTCTAATTTGGGTAGTTCCTCTCTTGAGATAATTTCTCTCTCTTAAAAATTATGGGTAGTTTCTCTCTTTAAAATTTGATATAGGTTTCGCTAAAATTTTAGGATACTTTTATCTCTCTAAAACTTAAAATTTGATATAATTTTCCTGTCTAAAAACTTTGAGTAGGTTTCTCTCTCTAAAACTTTTCAAGTAATCCAGCCCAATGAATCCTATTATCTTTAGGCCCAATTTTCGATTATGGTTCTAGAATGCATATTTTTTGGATTTTTTAGAATCTTTTTCTCTTTAGGCCCAATTTTCAATTATGGTTCTAAATTCGGTCAAGTAATTTCTTTTTCTAAAATTTGATATAGTTTCTCTCTCTAAAATTTTAAGATACTTTCTCTCTAAAATTTAAAATTTGATATAGCTTATTTATAAAATTTTTGAGATAGTTTTTCTCTCTAAACTTGGATGTAATTTCTTTTTCTAAAACTTAAAATTTGAGGTAGTTTCTCTCCCTAACTTGTGGGATGTTTTGGTATAATTAATTGTATTTAATAAAATGGGCAACTCATGTATGTGAAAATAGTATAATCATTAGTTATATTATATTGTACTCCCTCTTTCATGCTTAAACAAAAATTATGTTTTGATAACTCAATTTTTTTTCTTGATTTTGCGTACTCATGTTTTGGTCATCTTTCTTACTTACATAAAACATGGTTATGTATCCAAAAACATTGTGAAACATGTTTTTATGCAAAATACCTAGGGAATACAAAATATGATTTTGGATACCCTAGGTTCCAAATGACCTATACAAAACCCACTAAATCTACCTAAGTCCAGCCAAATCAATTCAAATTTCACTAAAGAAATCCTGATTGATTCAAACTTATCTAAAACAGTAGGACATGCTCTAGAAAGACAAAGACTCAGATGTGAAAACTAGGTCTAAATTTAACCAAACCACCACTGATGAAATGAGCAAGAGGTCGGCACCACCCAGTAAAATCTGGGCTTCATCAGTGACGTAATTCACATTGCTGGGCCCATCATGATATGCGTCATTAACCCTAATGGGCCCCAAAATTTCTCGAAAGCCCCGTCCAGCCCGAATGAATCATTTTCTCTTTAGGCCCAAATTGTGGCACTAGAATGCATAGGATTTTCTAAAATCCTAAATCTATTATGAATTCTTGGTCAAAAGTCAAATCCCAATTAAGCTTGGGCCTAATTGAAGTCATTAAAAACCCTTATCTTGTCTATTTTAGAACACAATTTATTATTAGATTGTAAAGAAACCCTTAGGATAGAAAAATCATAAGAATCCTAAAACCTTAGGTCATCCTTTATGTTTGGCCCTCTAACCCTAGAAAACCATAGGTTCAGAAATCCTAAATCTTCTCATAAGCAAATCAAACCCTAGGAAGAACACACTTTAGGTACTTCTCAAATTCAAGCAAACTTTTAGGGCACGTTTGACAATTGGAACTTTTGTCATAGGGCTTCCCAACTTCCAACCCATGCCTATGGTCTTAAGTTCGATTAAGTTTTTTTATCCAAATCACAGATGGGATGTTCAAGAATAGGGCTAATTAGAATTTTATTTTATTTTATTTTTATAGAGGGCATGGGTGTAATTATTTTATTTTATTAATTAAATTATGACTTAAGGCATGAGAGGTAAAATAGGTATTTAGTTAGTTGTTATTTTAATGGATGAGTTGTTTCCTTAATGGGACGTGTAGATATGGAGAAGTAGATGAGGATGGGAAGTGAGAGATAATGTGACACTCCTATTTTCATGGGGGTTAAGATTTAAATAAATAATGTTTATGGAGGGTATCTACGTGACAAAGAGAGATGGACGTAGAGATATTTATTTGAAAAGATGATCTAAGGAAGAAACGTTAGGAAAGTATGAGAAAATAAGATTTACATGACTTTGAGAGAGATATTCATGGGAAGTTACGTGAGGAGAGAGAGTGTGTTTAACGAGATAGCGAGAGACGTGTGTTGTAAAGAGAGAGATTTTCTTTTAGCTCAATTAAAGGGGACTTGGATATTTTTGTAGAGAGTTTTTTTATTGAAAGAATAAAAAAA